TATACCTCTTTTCGTTCCTACCCCCCATGGTGGCCAGTACTGGACTGCGCCCTGAACCCTAGCTCAGTGTTGTTGACCAGCAGCTGGCAGGGGCCATGAACACTTTGAGAAAAGAACCAAGAAACTGCTTTTCACTCCAAAGATCCCCTGATTCTCTTTAGATGGTCTGAGGACCATGGTTGGTGGGGTTGAATAGAGGGAGTCCTGGTTTGTGGATAAAAATCCGAGTCTAGACCCTTAATTCAATAACCAACATGGGATAGTGACAAGAAAACAGCGTTTACAACCGGAGACATTTGAGTCTATTGTACCTGCGGGTACAATACACACCACTGTGTGACCTTGAGTTACACTTGGGCTAACTGGATGACCTTGAGCCTGTCACTTTATTTCTGGGAGCTCAGCTCATCTGTGAAATGTGGTAGTAACACCTGATTAACACTGCAGTTATATTCAGACTTGGTTAAAGTGGGTCTTCCATGAATAACCCAGTTATTTTTATCCTATAAAGCCTGACTCCTCAAGACTCTGACCCTTCGCCTTCATTTCTCACCTCGTTCCTGTGTGGTGTGCTCAGCACAATATCTCCCTAATCAGTAGTTTAAAACATAAAAACAGTTTTGCTTCATGACCGCAGATCTCAGGGGACAAACAGAGTAGGTCACAAGTCAAGTTTATTCAGCCACAAGGTCACAAGGTCACAAGTCAAGTTCATTCAGTCACAAGGTCACAAGGTCACAAGGTCACAAGTCAAGTTTATTCAGTGAGTATGCACTAGATCAGGTGCTGAGAATATAAGACGAAAAAGACGGCCGTGGTTTCTGCCCTCAGTTTACCCTCTATTTCTCACTTACCTTTGTTCCTTTGGCATCTGATATATAGCAAATGCTCAATAAAGGTTTGAAGAAATGAAGGGGGGGATGATAAGGAGCAAAAGTGGGGAGGAGGGGAGAAGAGAGAAGTCAGTCACCCCTTGGTAACCGGAAGTGCCTAGAGGCACAGGCAAAGCTCTTGGAGGACAACTTGGCATTCAGTGAGGTCGGGTCTGGTTAGGGAGCCCGGAGAGAGGGGCGATTCCACAATGGTGGGACGTCAGTGACATGGGACATGTAACGCGAAGGAACGGCTGCTGAGCACCCGGGGAGAAGGCTGTCCAATTTTGGAGAAGCTCATCAGATGCTGTCTTGCAGACCGTGGAGAGCCATGGACTACGCATCCCTTGCAAAGGGAGAGAGTGCATGAGGAAAGCGGTGGTTTAGGAAGAAGAGTCAGGGTTGGACCCAAAGGCATTCGCAGGCTGTCGAAAGAACCTAGGCAGACGTGGGGAGGGCCCAGACTTCGGGTTGCAGAGGTGGGAATGGAGAGGAAAGGGTGGGTCTGAGAGGTGCTCTGGAGGAGGGGCTGGGCCACACTTGGTGATGGAGACAGACTGAAAATAAAGCAGGAAAGGGAGGTCGCACTGACTGCCAGGCTTTGCAGCAGGAGAACGTCAGTGGACACAATGGGAAACTGAAGTGGAGAACTTGGGATGGACGGCTCAAGGTGTGCGAGTGGGCACAGCACACACTCTGTGTCCCGAGAAGAGTTGTGTGGGTGTGTGGTTGTACAGACGTTCGCTCCTGGAGGGAAGGACCACGTCATATCCATCTGTTCCCCACAGCACAGGGCAAGGCCTGCCTCATGGCAGGTCGCAGTCAACAATGTTCTCAAGGAGCTTCCTGTCAACCTACCTTAATGCCTAGGAGGTTCTAGAAAAGATCCTGGGCTCACTCACTTCCTGGGAGCAGGGAAGACAGGGAAAAGAAACCAGCCGTGAGGGAACAGATGAAGAGCATTTTCTGGCCAAGAAACTACACCTGCGGATGCACGCTGTGTTCCTAGGGCCTCTGAAGCCGGAAGGAGAAGACTCAAGGTGTGTCCTCTGGGTGAAAAGACAGCGTGCCCAACCCTCCACCGCCCCTCCTCCCACAGCAGAGTGACTTTTATCGACTCTAGACAGTGACCCTCAGCTTGTGATTCTGTTTGAAAAAGCGTCTCATTGATTTGAAAGAAAAAGTATTTCTGGTGGCATGTATTTAATGCACAGAAATTAAAATCAGATTGAAAAAGAAATTGTCAGAGCACCCATCATCCCCTCCCAAAAAAAATGGGTAATGTCGTTTGGGTGGTTTTGTTGAGACTGTGCAGTGTTATCTCTCTCTGCTCCCCCCAACCCCAACCCAACCCAAGAGACATTCTTTCCATAGAAAAGCCTGAAGGGGTCCAAAAAGACCCAATGTGGGAGCCGAAAGCTCTCTGAAGCCTGCTAGGATGGATCAGACCATCCTCCCCCTCCCCCTCTCCACACCCCGCCCCCCTCCCCCGTCCCTCAGGGCTTACTGGGGGGATCTCATGGTTGCCCCAATGCCTGGCTCTGAGACACGGTCCAGAGTGAGCTAGTGAGCTCTCTGTGTCCTCCTCCACAGAGGATCTTGGCTTTCCTGCACCAACCAGGGCTCACCCCCCACCAACACGCTGCAACCGCAACCCCTCGGGATGCTCCCTGTACCTCAGCTCTCTGTTACCTTCACCCACATCTGAGGAAGCGGTACTGGGGGTGGGCGGAGGAGGGAACACCTCCCGCAGCAGGGTCCGCACCACTGGCTTGCGGCCTTCTCGTTACCGCTGACAACCTGCTAATTCTCTCTGATAACACAATCTTTGACAGCCATTGCGGCTGTCTTGACACTGTCCTTGCAAGAAAGGTTTTGAGATAAAAGAAGGAGTTGTGAAATCATCATTGAGCCGGGAGAAAAGAGCCTCAGAAAGGAGTGCCCCCCACAGCTTTCTCCCTCCCCCTGTCTTCCCTTCCCTCCCCTCCTCCTTGCCCTCTTTCCCTTCCCGGCCCCTTCTTCCAGCCTCTCCGGCACCCTCCTCACATCCCTCCATCCTCTGGCTCCTTCTCCAGAACCCCCCCACCTCACTTTTCCTTTCTCTTCTCTCTCCTCCTCCTCCTCCTCCCTCTCTTGTTTTGGTGCCAGAAACAGTCTAATTACAACAGAGAAACTTGAAGAGCCTGAGAGGAAAAAAATAAATAAATTAACCCACCACACATAGCTGATTAAAATGTCCTATGAAATCTAATTTGTAAAGCTCAAATCAGAATAAAAAGTGTTACTCCCACAATTCAGGGCCAATTTGATTTTTAATGAGACCCCTCAGAGACCCAGCCAAAATCTCATCAGGCTGCAACCGCGGCTACCTTCCCACCTGCCACAGGCTCTCTGAGGCGCCCCCCACGTCTGCTCCTGGGGACCCCCACCACCAGGCCTGCCATTCTGGCCCACTTCCCTCAGCTTCTTTATATGTCCACCACTCCCTTCTTCGGGCCACCTGCTGCTGAGAGCATGGCCTTGCCCATGGTCTTACCCAGGTCTGAGCCTGGGTCATTGTGTCCCCAGGATGGGCAACAGCTAGTTTCCAGGACCTCTGTGGCCATCCCTGACTCTCCCTTGTTGCAGGAAGAAGAGGCCGGGGCAGCAGCCTGTCCACCAGGACCCCCTTCCTGAGCTGTGTGTCTCTAGCTGCCGGGCAGGGTGTGGGAAAGAATGTGGGCTTGGAAGTCACAGAGAAACCCCCCTTACCCCCCACTGCCTGGTCAGACCCCAGCTCCACCACTCATTAGCTGTGTGATCTTGCATTGGTTGCTTTGCCTCTCTGGTCCTGTTTTCCTTGCTGTAACATCGGGCTATTTCTGCCCTGACATGTCACTAAACAGGTTATAGAAGGGAGGGCACGTGAAGCACTTTCTGCTGTGGGCCAGGGGTTCTGTAAATGTCAGTGTCCTCTTGTCCGTGCACCTGCGGCTTCCCGGGGACCACGGATCACCCCCAGCCCATTCCTCAGCTTCCCCTCCAGGACCAGCGGATCTGGGCACTGCACAACTCAGCAGGGGAAAATACAGTCTATAGAGACAGAAAGTCCTATATTTTTAGCCCTTGTCTTCCCACTAGACACTTTGGCGATAATTTAGCCAACATCCAAGCCCCTGCAAACTGGACTGGGTAAGGTCCTGCGGTTACGACCACTGCAAAGCTAAAGGTAGTGCATACACGAGACTGGCTCGGTCACGACCAAGCACGGCCCCTCTTAGTATTTGCCACTTCCTTGGGCCCCATTTCCTCCTCCAGAAAGTGGGGATCAAAACAGTACCTACCTCATAGGTTGTTATGAGGGTGAAAAGGTTAATGAGCTAATATTTTTAAATCTTAGAACAGCGGCCGAGACGTGATACATACCGGGGGTGTGTCTGGGTCACACCGATGAGCTGGCTGGCTTGGACAGCTCGGGGCCATCTCGCTCTCAGGGGTGCATGGGAGAGCTTGGGGTCATACCCGTGACCTTCTCCCAGGTGGTAGGGAAGCCGGAGCTGGGGCTGCCACCAGAAAAATAGGGGCAAAGCAGATACCCCTGCACGTGCTGGGCCACACTATACCAGCCCGGGAACCACCGAAACAATAATGTTTTCCCTGGATTCTTGGGTTTTTAACCAAAGCGCTCTACTCCCTGTCCCCAATTTGCCTTCTTGAGGCACACCCCCACAGGATGCCCGCTGCTGGAGGGCTCTCTCCTGCTTCTGCTCTGTAATGGGAGGAGGGGCAAGCCAGCAGCAGCAAGTGGAAAGTGGCAGAGCTCGTCCCAAGGGCGGCTTGGCCTCTGGGGGCTGGAGGAGGCTGGGTCACAGTGTGTGTGTGTGTGTGTGTGTGTGTGTGTGTGTGTACTAAGGATTGATGAATGGGGCGGCTGAGCTTCGAGCCAGCTGCTAGAAACAGGGAATTAAGCTGGGGGCAGGTAGGAAGCTGTTGCTGGGCCCCAGGCAGGAAGTAAGAGGCAGGGGCGGGGGGGGGGGGCATTGGGGGTGCTTCTCCCCTGGGCCAGCCTCTGCTCTGCTTCTTAACTGGGGAAGCCTCCAGACGCTGCTCCCTGCGGGTAACTGACCGCTGTGCTTGTTTCCTTCCCAGGCCAAGTGTACTCCTTCAGCCAGCAACCCCAGGACCAGGCCGTGGTGTCAGGCCAGCCAGTGACTCTGCTGTGCGCCATTCCCGAATACGATGGCTTTGTCCTGTGGATCAAAGACGGCTTGGCTCTGGGTGTGGGCAGGGACCTCTCAAGTGAGTACCCCCAGACCTCCCCAGGAAGGCCTGGACCCCGTCCCTGCCTGACCCAGCTACCCTCCTCAGGAACCCCACCTTCATGGGCATTTGGAGATTAAATCTCCAGATTTCATTGTGCATCCCCCCTGGGGCAGAGTCAGGGTGGGCAAGCTCTGGGTCCAGGACCCACAGGACTTTGAGAGTGCTTCCAACCACCGGTAATGAGTTATCCATAAACCCTCAAATCCGGTGGCCAAACCCGAACAGGGTGGCCCTGAGGGATCTCTTCAAGAAAGTCAAACACAATTCAGGTAAAGTCAGATGCCTACAAGAAACGTGTTCCCTTTTCTTGGCCCAGAATGTATCCCCCACTTAAGTCATCACCTGGTTCTTCCCAGGTTTCCATCCACTAAAGGGAGCCAAAGAAATTGAACTCTCACAGAGGAACCAAGTTGGTTTTACAGGTTACCATGGGAGGGAAGAAAAGAAAAGGAGCCCACCCAGGCTGGGTTTTGAGCAAGGATGTCCCAGTAGGCTCCCGTCACTTGCAGCTGAGCTCCCCCAGTTGGCGCGACGTCCTCTCATCTGTTAACTGTGGTGAACGTCAGCCCTTAAGCTCATACAGATGTCTTTCTGATCCATCCTCTCCCCCGGGAGACAAAAGAATAGACTCAGCCACCCGGTCACTCACCCATCAGCAAATATTATTCTCCCCTGGGGAGGTAGGCATGTGACCGCTCGCGAGGCTTAGCATAACCTGGAAAATTCGGAACAAGGGATCCAGGTGTCCCCGCCATTGGGGAATGGCTGAGGGTAGAAGAGGAGAAAAAATATATATGTATGTATTCAACTGAGAAGTCACTTTGCTTCTTTCGTGGTGTGTAGCTGCAAGAAAATAAAAATCGAAGTGCACTCAGGAACATGATGGTTGGGAAATTAATATTTTAAAATGTGAGTTATGTCTTGCCAAAAATGTATATTGAAACATTATAGCCATGGTCAATAGCATCCCCGGGTTTGAGTGCTCCAGCCCCGCTGAGCATGGATAAAATACACAATAATATCTCCAAAATATACTGTGCTGCCATAAAATTTAAGTATTATGGGAACCAGCCAATTTCAGGGGCTCTGAACTTCCTTACCCTAGAGAAACTGGGGGAATGATCTCACCCTCCCAAAAGAGCATCACTCAAGCTCTGCGTGGCTTTGAGCTTGGACCAGGATCGTTGCTAGCTAAGGAGGTGCTCTGGGTTCCTGGTCAGTGGTTTGCAGCCTCCAGGCAGGGACTGGGGTCTTTTCTGGGTTGGTGGCCAAGAGCAAGCCCCAGGTCACCACGGATGTTCATCACCACACGGATAACTGACCCTGTGGCATCCAATTCCATGAATGGCTTTCTGGGATCAGGATTGGGTCCTGCTAATTACTGAGGGACAACGGGGTTCTGATTAATTGGGGTCTGTTTGCTCTCTGACTTGACCTCCCTTATATAAAGAAGGTTGTCTGTCTCCTTGCAAAGCCACCGAACTCAAATTCCTAGAAAAGTGTTTTCTATTTGATCACCGATCCCCAAAAAACATCAGGAAGATAATGACAGAAACTCACATGCTCCATAAATACTGTTTGCTTGCCTAACAAGAAAGAGGAAAAGGTCCCAATTTCACTCAGCAGGTGTTCGCACAGCACTCGATAACGGCACAGGTTTCCCCACGGGGAAACTGAGGCCCAGAATTGTAAGACTTCAACCTGCCACAGTTCTATCCTCTTTTGTTTTACCTTTATCCTTTTCTGTGTGACCCGGAATTCAGCTGACCAGGAATCATGCCCTCACTGAAGACCTACCTACCCGTCTTTCTGTTCACCAAGGCTGGAAAACACTTTCAAAGGAAATGATTTATAAATGCATGCCCTCAGATTGATAGAACATTCTTCTTCTGAGAAGCCCAAATGATTCTCAGACATTATGTCATAAATTACAATGATCCACAGGGAGAAAAGAGGATTCCCCCCTTTATTTGACAGGTAAATGAAGTCACAGTTGAGAAAGAAATTGATTCAAACATACACCCAATCCCAATGTGTGGGACCCTGGGGGAGGGGAGAATTCTGTTAGGGATCCTAACACCCAAAAATCCTGGCACCCTGCATGTTCTCACCTCTAAAGACAGGGACCCTTTTGGCTATCCCATCTCACCATCATTTTTCTTTAAACCAGCATTTATAGACTCTAATCTCTGCCACTCACGTAACATGGATCGTCCCACTTAATCTTCACCGTGACTCTATAAGATACTGATATTGTCCCCATTTTGCTGATGAGGAGACGGACGCACGAAGAAGTTCAAGTAACATGCCCAAGACAACAGAGCTAGGAAGGGACAGACTGGGCATTTGAACCCGGGCACTGAGACTGTAGAACCCAGACTCCCAATAATTTTGCATCCTCTGAGCATAGCTAAAAGAGTCATGATCCTATGGAAGGAGCTAGAACTTACTCAGAATCAATGCCTCTGGGCCTGTGTTTTCCAAAGATCCTGCCAGTCCATGGGACAGCATTGCAGCACGTTGCCTAATTAGGCAAATACAAACAAACCCATCACTGATGTTTTCAGCAGCTCATGAGAGCAAAATTCCTGCTGCTGATAGCTTGCAAGACAACAAAAACACAAGCTACAGCCAAGATGCCTGCAGGAGACCAGGGACTAATCAAGGACAGCGGGATCCAGAGGCTGGGCTGGAAGGGCCGGGGGCGGACAGCTGGCTACATTGAGGGCAGTAGGGGGGAGAGGGCTGGGCAGGAACCCATTTCCAGCCCCTCGTCCTGGTCCTGGGGAGAGCCAGCTTAACCTACCTGGGCTTCTTCCCAAAGCCCAGCAGAGGGCAGGAAGGACGGGCAGGAGGGGAGGTGGTGCTCTCGGGGGTACAGCCGTCTGCCTTGTGAGCGCCTTGGGCCGGGCCAGAACAGCTGTGCCAGGTGGGGCTGTTTGACTGCACAATGGGGACGATGCTAGCCATGAAGACGTGAGCCTGAAGGGCTCAGCTGCACAGGAAGCCCCCATACTGCATACTGGGAAGGATCACAGCTGTCTTCCAGACAAGGGATGGGTGCCAGTGGCCCCTGTGCAGCTCACCTGTGGGGACGCCTGCTCCACCGCTGCAAGACCCTTAGCTTACGATGTGAGGGAACTTAGAGCTCCGATATTCCATCTAGAATAGAAAGCTGCTCTGCTGTGTCCCTGACGGTGCTTGCATGCGGCTACTGATGGGGATCTCACTACCACTTCTGGCACCCTATCCCTGCTGGACCTTTCAAATTATATTAAGAATACTCTAAAGTATTTCCCCACATTAATTCTGTCACTGGTGCTAGCTCTGTCCTTGGGAACTCCTTGAACACATCTAACCTGCACTTACAAACAGGAAGCATTTGGAGAGCTATTCCATGTCCCTCTGTCTCTCTGTTTCTGTCCCTCTCTCTCTTTCTCACTGGCTTAAGCCCTAGTCTTCATTCTAAAAGTTCAGATAGACCAACCCCTTCTTCCTACAGCACATTTCTGAGAACTCACACTGTCCTGGTGAAGGTCTTTTAGAAAGAGGAGATGTTTGTAGCTGCTGAAGGGTGTGTGGGCCTCTGAGGAGAGAAGGGAAGAGAACAGGGAGGAAGGTCTCTGTAAGAGGCTGGTGGACGGTGGGGAGGAAAGGAGACAGAGCTCAGGTAAGGGGACGATGGGAAAGAGATCCTTCTGGAAGAAACTAAGGAGGTCTCGGGCCCAAGGGCCGGGACAGGGGATCTGCCCAGCCTGCCCAGCCACGACTTCTGTCAGTATTTACATTCACCCTCCACAGCAGCAGGAAAGCTGATTAATGATTTATAATTCTCAAATTTTTATTTATCCATTATTCATCACCAGTAGTATAAGGGCCCCACATTCCTAAGTGTCCTGAGTGCCTCATAGTAAGTGCTTAATCAGGCCCTGGGGTCTGAGATGGGGAGGAGAAGTGACCAGAATAGGGCCCCTTAGGGTTCAAGGTGGCCAGAGGATGCCGGGCACTGTTCAGGTTTGCCTCGATTTCTACTTCCTGCCCATCCTGAACTACCCCCCCCAAAGTCATTCTTGCTTCTTTTCCAGAGATTTCTGTTTTCTCCTGTCTCTTTCTTACTCTGTCTGCTGAGAACTGCAGCCTGGGTCTCTCTGTGTGTCTCCTTATCAAAATGCATGTCTGCTTGGTAAACCACAGCGCTGAGCACCCTGCTTACCAGAGTACCCACCCTGCTGTGTCTGCCCACACTCAGCATTTCCATCTCTGCTCTCTCCGTCCTCTCCCATCATAGCCTCTCCAATATTCCTAAACCTACACGCACACACACGCTGCCCAATAACCGGGGAAAGCTCTTTTTTTGTGCTCCTCACGCCGAGGTCAGGGCCCTGAGCAGTCACCTGCCATGCCAGCCTCCAAGCCCAGCCCCAGCTCGCAAGTCCCACTGTGGTGCCTGTTTGGCAGGAACGTCCCCCCGTGGCCCCGCCCCCCTGACATGCGCACTGTGTCCACAGGCTACCCACAGTACCTGGTGGTAGGGAACCACCTGTCCGGGGAGCATCACCTGAAGATCCTGCGGGCAGAGCTCCAAGATGACGCCGTGTACGAGTGCCAGGCCATCCAGGCCGCCATACGGTCTCGCCCCGCACGCCTCACCGTCCTGGGTAAGAGCTGTTGCCGCGCGGGGCGGGGAGGCAGGGGCGAGGATGCTCCGGGAAGCACCGTGCGCTCGCTTTCAGAAGGGCATCCACACTGGGCGAAGCCCAAAGGGGTTCCGGCGGCTGCTGCCCCACTGCGTCAGGACCCACTTCCCCTGCTAAAAGGGGAAAGTGAAAGTTCCTGCCCTGGGAATCGGAGGGTACTGCTAAGCAACCTGTGACCCTGTCCAACCCCAGCGGGTTTGACTCCAGCTTAAGGTGCTAAAAGGGGCTCTGCATGCCTATTTATTCCATGAGGAAGCGTGTTCTGCACGCGTGGTGGTTGTCAGGCCGGGTGCTAGGCAGTGGAGATATGGAGGAAAGTATGACACATCCTCGAGTCCGTTCCGTCTCCAACTAGGTGCTAACAAAGCATGATTTCAGCACTCCTAGGGACCACTGCTGCACCTGTTCCTTCCCCATGCTCCACCGCTCCCTGGGAGCCCCGGCTCTCTGCTGGAGAGCTGACTGCCTACATCATTCCTAGGAAAATTCATTTTAGGCCCTTATGCCAAACCAGACCTTCGCCCCTTGGCCTTTCTTCCTCTTGGCTTCCCAGGGGCCCAGTGGCCCTAAGACACCCTCCCTGAGAGGTCTCCACTCCTCCACTCAGGCAGACCCACCTGAGGACGAGGGAGTGAGCTCGGCTCCTCTTAAAGGGCCTCCTTCCAACTTTGAGGTCACGCCCTGTCAGCTCCCCTCCAGCCAGTTGCTACTGCGGACCAGGCCCCTGAGAACCGAGCTGTACACAGAAGGCATAAGGGCAGACATGTGCGTGCACTGTAGAAACCCTCTCAAAGCCCTTCCACTTATGCTACCCCGGCTATTCGGACGCAAGACAGTGGGACAGGGATTGTTGTCCTGGATGAGAAAACTGAGGCTCAGAGATGCCAACGGCCCCGGGGTTCTCCCGGCTAGGGCTCCGGTACCAGCGCACTGCCTCCTGGGTGAGGCTCCGCCAGTCCCACAAAGGACGGGACCCAGGCAGCGGAGAGGGGAGCCTGCCTGCCTCTTGGCAGGTGCTGTGAGGCTCCGACCACAGGGTCAGCAGCAGGGGTCCTGCCTCCTTGCCTGGAGGATAAGGCACCTGGCTGCTCCTGATGAAATATTTAAGAGCGTGTCAGGTTATCTTCAGATGGACACAGCAACACGTGGGCACGTTATGCCAAGCACGGCAGGAAGCCCAGGCGGACCACTTACCAAGCTCGGGGCTTGGATTCTTGAGACTTAACTCTGGGCTGACCCCAGAACCTCCCCCTGACCCCAGGGTCTCCTCTAGCCTGTGATTAAGGAAAGAGAAAAGCATATTTACCCCGGGTCCGACGGGGTAAATATGCTGGGACAGCTCAGTCCAGAAGGGCCCACAGAAGAGGAATCAGGGATCAGAAAGGGAGAGGCAGACTCTTCACATCTCCCAAGATGGTGGCTAGAACAGAATGGGGGTACAGCGCGGTGCAGAGGTGTGGAGAAGCGCAGGAGGATTTAGCATCTAAAATTTTTCTGATTTTTGAGTATTGTGCAATGCGGGAACAGATTTGGGCATCTCCAGAGATGAACCCATTCCCCATCCTCAGAATAATCCGCCTTCTGCTGCCTTGCTCCCACTGTAGAGGGTACCAAAGAATGCGAAGTTGAGAGGGACCTAAGCACTGCCCTCTCCTAACTTCACGCAGGACCTAGACTAGATGCACACACAGCTCGTCGTCAAGTTCTCATCCTGCTTGCTGTCTGAATTCTGCCTGTCGCACCCAACCATTCACAGCCTGCCTCCTCTCCCCTCTCACAGAGGTCACCAAGCTCAAAGTAGTCCAAATGCTGTACAGATGAGGAAATCGAGACTCCGAGAGCAAAGCCACACGTGGCCTGATGACCACTCAAAATAGACCCCAGATTTTCTAATTCCAGACCAGTGCTGTCTGCATCCCTAAATGCCACCACGGTCTGCTTGGTCTAGTTGCTTAAGGGCCGGGCTGCGGAGAGCAGGGCCACAGAGTCTCACCCGGACAGACTCAGTTTCGTGTTGGGTCACATCTCAAAGTCTCCGCCATCTCCATCTCCTGTGTCCAGACCTGGCGCAGAGCCGGTTGGCTTGAGGAACATGCTTTACAAGTCTGGAAGGCAGTTGAACAAGGGGAAAGAGGACCTTCCAGGGGACCCTGGCAGCTAGGCTGTGGGATTCCTGAGAGCTGGAAAAGGAGCCTGAGGGGCACCTGGGTGGCTCAGTGGGTTAAGCCTCTGCCTTCGGCTCAGGTCATGATCTCAGGGTCCTGGGATCGAGCCCCGCATCGGGCTCCCTGCTCAGCGGTGAGCCTGCTTCCCTCTCTCCCTGCCTGCCTCTCTGCCTACTTGCGATCTCTCTCTCTCTCTCTCTCTCTCTCTCTCTGTCAAATGAATAAAAATTAAAAAAAATTTAAAAAAAAAAAAAGGAGCCTGAGAAGGCATTTGTCCAGCAGCCTTTCCTAAAGTCTCCACCGACCCCACTCTTCCTAACAAACTAACCCCAGGAAAGAAAGAGCTGGCCCAGACTCTGCCTCCAGCCCCTCCTGATCACCCTGGTCCCACCCCCTGAGCTGGTCCAGCAGGTGTCCACCCCCACTTTCACGGGTCCAGCCGGCCTCCGCCAGAGGCACCCAGCCCAACTGAGTTTCTTTATGGTGCACAGCCCCACCTACTGCCCTGGAGAGAGGCCCTGCGTGCAGAAGCTGACCCAGCCTTCAGGACGGGGAGCTCTGGTCTGCTCACCGTGCTGCATAGACAGAGCAGCAGAGCGAAGAGGGGCATTGCTACCGCGGGCAGCCAGCTTCCCAAACAAGACCCCATCTGTTTTGCTGTGACATCTCATCCTGGGAAAATGTCCCAGCCAGTTCCCCAAGGGAGGGGCTGCCTTCCCTGTGTTCCAGGAATGAGAGAGCTTCCTAATTTAGTCTGTATTTGCCTGAGATAGATTTTTAATTAAATAAAGTAAGAGCCTGATTAGAACCTGCAGAAGATGTGAGAGTAGAATCAGATGGCATTCCAGCAAAATTGCAAAGCAAACACTTTGGCTGGAACAGAGGGAGACCCGTGGGGGGTCTTCCATCAAAACACCAAGTGAGGAGGGCAAATACGAGACATTATATGCCAACAGATGTGCATTGTTAAAATATGCATCTGCCGGGAGCCTGCCTGGAGAAACCAGAGGGCCAGCTCACAGAGCCCATAGTGCTCCGGGGAGGTCAGGGGGACCCAGCCCCAGCAGCCAAGCCTAGAGTCGCAGACGCATTAATTAGCCTTGTGTTTCCAGCTCCCAGATGCAATCAGACCAGGAGCAACTTGGAGCTGAGCATTTGCTACCTGGGGGGCAGAGGGAGGGAGCTAAAGGACCAGGAGAGCAAGAAGGGGAAGGGGCAGAGCCAGGCAAAGACTCCGGGACACCCCCCACCCCTACCCATCCAGGTTAATGGCCAGGCTGCATTCCCTCTGTGGTCCAGGGGGCCCATGCCTTGACTTGGGCCAGGTCGAGACAGGCATTTTTCCACCTGCAGAACATCTCAAGAATCATGGCATCCCAGAGCAGCAGACTTGGAGGCAACAGTCATGGTCCTACCATTAACCAGCTCTGTGATCTTGGCCCTGATACTCCACCTCTCTGGGTCTCAGTTTCCTCATCTGTAACATGAAGGTGATGATAAATAAGATGGTCACTAGGCACTGAAGGGCTCCCAAAACGCTGTGAACTCTACAATACAGGGTCCAGCTTGCTGCACCAGGTAGTTGAGGAAAATGGCCCCATCTCCCACCAGAACCAGAATTCACGAGGGAGACTGAGGCACAGAAAGTAACAGAGTGTTTTGTGCAGCCTCTTACTTTGAGTCTGGAGAGGGGAACCTCTCAAAGTCCTGCCCAGCCCTGGGATTCTGGACTGGGCTGCGCATGTTAACCCCCGAGTCCTCCTTCTGTCCACAGCTTCCGTGCCTTCCGAGCCATGTCTGTGGGGATTCCGCTTAACGGGACATCCTGGGACCCCCGTGCACGTGTGCAGAGCTGGGGTTAGCAGGAAGAGTCAGGGGCTGGGAGCAGAACCCCTACAGAGCTCACTCATTGCGTGCCCTTGGGCGAGGTCCTTAGCGCTCCCGTGGGGACTCTGGTTCAACTCTCTGACCAGCACTTAATATAGGGCAAGTCCTCAACATAAGGTAGGGTTTGTTTGGTTTTTGTTTTGTTTTGTTTTGTTTTTAATAAATGAGTTAGTGAATGAATGGCATTTCTCATTCCTCATCTATGAAATGAGGATAATAAAAATCAAATCTCCCAGAACTGGTGTGAGCACCAAACTAACACACACACACACACACACACACACGCTAAAGTGTCACACACTCTGCAGTTACAGTCACACACACGCACATGCAGAGTGCGTCCTCCTCCCACTGGCGGGAACCCCAGGGTTGACAAATACCTCTACAGCCCCAGGGCCGGAGCCTTAAGGACGATACTGCATTCGATCTTGCTAACCGCCTGAAAATTTGAGAAGCAAGGAATTGGAGGACCTAGATCAGGGAGGAAATGGAAGCCAAGGTTTTGATCAATGAATATTTCCTGAACACCTACTAGGTGCCCTGCACTGAGCTCGACAAGTGAGGTTCATGGGTCAGTGAAAAGGAACACTAGCCCTGCCTTGGTGAGCCTGCGTCCTGGCGGAGAGAGCCGGTCAATCCATAGTAAACAGGTTAAACAAATGAATTGTGAGGGTCAGAAGTGGATGGTAATGACCCCTGGGGACACAGAGAAAGAAGAGCAGGGTGGGGGGGGACAGGAAGTAGGCAGGGGAAGATGGCGGGTAGCAGGTTAATTATTAAAAAGGGTGTTTTCCCAGTCTTCCTCCCATTCCCCTTATCTTCCTGGCCCGTTCTAATATTAACTCTGCTGTCTTGTGGCTCCCATTGGAAACAAAGCTTTCTAAATCAACATGAATTATTTAATGATGG